TTTTTTCACGGCCGAAGACAGTTTTTCGAAAAAAAGAATCTGAGGTGAAGTGGACACTACATATGACGCTGTAAGGAGAAGGTCCACCCCAACCTTTTCTCGTTGTTTTCACGGCTTTCGTTTACTGACGTCGCACCTTCGGATCGTTTGGAAAAGTGTGAATACTTACACTATGACTATACGTATTACTGCAACCGCCCACAACACAACGTTTAACCATCACAAACGTTTGTTCTGAAAACAACTTCTAAAAACTCTCTATCTCATAAAAAAAAAAAAATGACAAAAAAAAGAAATGCCGACCGAAAAATGTATATCGTTTAAAAGTATGTTGAATCACGCAGTGTTATATAAGTACAGCTCAGGAGTATGGCTTCCTCTCATATTTTGGCATTTGGTGGCGCACTTTCGGCGAGAGTCGGAAATCCGGAAACAGTCGACCGTTTCAGGATAGGTGGGCGTGGCTACAGCACGAGATATATCTTAAATTTACTTGGATAGGAGTAACCATTTTGACAAAAAAAAATCAATAACTGCCCACTTCAGTAGGACACGGATCTAAAATAGTTAATGTGAGAGTGGGCATTGCACAGGCACTTTAAATACTGATGTATTCTGTGTATACATGTATATCTTTACACAAGGTCCCAGAATTTAGATGACGAAAACCATGGATTGTGTTTAGTGTAGTATAGTCCTGATGACTAAATGATGAGAAATTGACAATATATTTTGTGTATTTTATCACAAATGGAACCATTTCTTGTTCCAAAATAGAGGCCCCCTCTAATATTAAGGGTCTGGCAAGCAGAATATATGCACAAGCTCACCTGTAGTTTGCCAATGATTGTATTGTATGTCTCAATATTAGATGGTTTCTTTGTATCAGCAAAATAGTCTGAGATTCCAATATTGATAGTCAGTGCTATCAACTGTGGACATGAACCTGTTAGACAGGAAAGCATCACATTAGCATTATAAATTGTTAGATGTTGAGGTTTACCGGAGTTACAAGAGGCATGTTTGAAAACAACTAACTAACGTGTTCAGCAAACACAGCAAATAATGACATACACATGGCATAACAGAAGAAAGACATCCCACAGATAGTCATGGAATAAACACAATCATTTGAACATATTTTTTATTAGACGCATAAAATCCTTAGGAAAGGATAAAAAGGGTCTTACAGAAAGAAATTAAAAAACTACAATCAAAAACAATAAAGACAATTTGCAGCCAATGGTGAATACACAATATGGAATGAACACAAAATGTGGCCTAATACACTGATAGTTGTTGCTGTTTTGTTCCATAGCTGTTTTTTAAGAAGACAGCTAAGGCTGGTGCTAGAGTATGGTTTCCCATAATCAAAATGAATTTATTCTGGCTATTTTCTTTATCAAAATTTGGAACTTTAATTTGTGCAGTCAGGAATAATTTGTCCCTATGGTGACTGTAAGCTGGACATTTCATTACAAAATGTTGCTCATCCTCAATTATATTTTGGCTGCACATATCACATGTTCTTTTATCCAGTGGCACATTATTATGTCTGTCTTTCTCAATTTTAAAGATCAAGAAAAATGGTCATTGTTATTAAAAGTTTAGACTCCATGCAATTGTTTATCAAAGTTCTATGAATAAAGGGACCTGCAGTCTGAATTTATGACCACAGTGTTTTTTTCTTGGTCCATTGATTTTGACAACAGTAAATAAGATTGGATTTTGTAAGACACATATACTTACTATTAAACTGTAGCAGTGCCTTTGGTGTCACAGGTGTAGCTGTGAATATCAGTCTTTCTATTGCCCTCAGTCCATTGCGACACATGGATATTGCAATTTCTTCAGTAATCTCAAGCATATGGTCCATTTCTAACAGCTGTAATCTAGCACAATTCTTAGCTAGAGTGGCAAAGGCAAAGAAAAGAAGTGTTTGGTAAAATCTATGTAAAATTAATTATAATTAATAGAATACTATTGATAGTCTAACAATGTGGGATGGAATTTTCATACAAATTCAGCAATCTTAGTTGATAACAATGAAATAGGCATCTCATTGGACCTTCTAGATGTGGGTGAAGGGCTGTGAGAGGTTTAATAGCCTTAGAGGAAACAATAAAATGAAAAACTCTTACTACTGTCAGTGGAGGAATTCCTACCTCCTGACAAGATGTTTTGTCACTTTCTGGTCAATCTATCAGTATTAAAGTCCTGTTGACCACTAAGAGAGCCTACAGTCTTTGTGATAAAACTTTAGTAATGATCTCAAAGTGAAACTTTGATCTAATTAATAATATATAATCCTATAATCTGCATACTGAAAATAAAAATGCCTTCTTGTATGTTCATTGGGTCATTTTGGAACATTGTAACAGGAAGAAGTTCACAATGTGACACAATGGCTGATACAAATTAACACTTACTGATTGACACTAATCCCTTCTCATCCACATCAATACCACCAATACTGAGTGCTCTTAACAACGGCCAACACCTACCAACCATCTGCATGCACCGATTATTGAACTTATGCGGCTTTTGACTGAAAAAATGAATTCAAAACAGTTCACATGAGACAATTCAGAATACAATAAAAAATACGTCAATTAGGTTTTTACTTTAAGATATTGTCTGCTGGAAGCCACCATGGATAGCCAAAATGAAAAAAATGGTGTCTACAGGCAATGGCTTAATCTATAAAAGTTGCACCCACTTTTTTAATAATTGAGAACCAAAAATTCACCATTTCTAATGTGTATATAGTTCTAGTAGAAATGGCATCCCCTCTGTTGCATTGTATCATTTTAATAGAAGCTGCAGCTTCTAATACATATTTTACAGTATATGTGTACTCACCATGGATGCATTGGAGGTATTTGTAATGAGACAACATTTCTACATCCAGCGCCAAGTGCCCATATCACTTCATGACCAACAGGATCAAATTCACTGATATACATAATGTTCTGCAGAGTTTTACAATGACAACTACATAACCATAATGCCCTGAATACGATGATAAAGATAAATATTAAAATACATCATTAAAATCATTGAAAATTCACTGCAAACACACAAATGTCATAGGATGGTGTGTACAAAAATGCAATCAGGTCTGGAGTATATTAAGTGTATATGTACCAAACTGTATTTCAATCCATCCAGTATTTTCAAGATATTTGTGTAATATAGATTTGACACACAGCCAGATGTCCACCAATAGAACCCCATCCTCTCACATTCCAGTGATGTATTTTTGTTTACAAATAACGAAAAAAATGGAAAATGTAAGCCACTGTCTGTCCACATGATGTGTATATATAGTTTTTCATTGACATTTTGAAAATGACTGGGTGTGTATCATATTGTGGTCGTCAATATTTCTACATAGAGTGTTCCGAGGATACGAGTTTTATGAGGTGTGAGCTAAAAGACTATAGAATCATAGTTATAACATACTGACATACCTGTCTGTGAGGATATTACTGCAATCAGCAATTCTCAATGTTATCAGCATGTGTTCTGATGCCTTGATTAAATACTCTAAACCAGATTCCAGACATCCCCTGTAAAACAAATATTCTTTTTAGTTTGCAGGTATTTCTGATCCACTCGAGGTATACAGGAAGCTAGTTAACAATAATAGAACACAGTATCAATCATCAAATATCTCCAAATTGTGATCTAGCCAATAGCAGACTAGTGGCACCAATCACATGACTAGAAGGGTCACATGACATCCGTCAGGTGACATTTTAGAACCAATCATGGGGAGTCACTTGATTGACAGATTACAATGTATGTTTACCTGGTAGAATTTAGGTAATCTTGGGTGGTTTCATTGGCCCTCATTTTTCTTCCCCTCAGCCCTTCTAAAGATAAATATACTGTTTCTGTGCACCATTTAGAAATAGTCTGAAGAAACTAAAAAAGAAAAGAAAATAGAATTATTAAATCACATAAATAGCAACTTTCAACACTTTTCTTGCACTAATATTTCAAATAAAATAACTTACTTGTCATATTATCAGTGTAAATGTAAGACGTTTGACTCAAATATTTTCCACCCTGAACATAAATTAAATCACTGAATGTAACCTGAAAAAATATCTATAAATATGAAACTCATAACCCAAAGTAAAACATAATATGTAAAATATAGATTAAAAAGTAAGAAGAACAGCCCTGTAGTGATTAGTGTTAATATGAGATATATTATTTTTTTTAAATTGGTTAAGAGAATTAGAAATTTACACTGTGATTGTTTTTAAAAAAATATCATTGTTGTTTCTTCAAGTAGAAGTACTCACAGTGCATAAACTGTATTAGCTCTATTAGTAGTGCATGTGCTTATATAAATGTACAGAGTGGTGTCTATGTTCAAAATAAGTTATATTTGAATGATGCAGTATACAATACATACAAGTGTTTGTTTACATGTGTTTCTATTGGAGATGCTCTTCTAATAGAGCAAATACATCCGTGCATTTTCCACTGTGATTCAGAAAATCTGTATGAATGATGTCTGGTAACTTACTTTAGAACTTATTCGATGATTTGATAGTTTTACTTTTTTCCACAATGCTGGATGTCGACTGACTTGTAACCAATCACGACTCACTAAACCAACTTTCAGTAAAGTTTTAGTCTCTAAATACGAAAATATACAAAATAATGCGCTGCGGTATCGCTTCCTTCTATCAGAGTTAAAGGCTTGTTCTGAAAAAAAAACACAGAATAGTAGACAAATCGTTATGTGAATGACCACCCAAGTTATAGCTATCATAAGTTTACAGTGGATGAGTAACCATGGTGATGTCAATATGCTAGTCACTAAGATCTATAATGAGTTGGTATCAGTCCTTGTTTTCATCTAGAGTAAGACATGAAAAAAATGAGCAGGGTCAATTGCTTTGTTTATGACTTTACTTAAAGCAGGTTTGTTGTAACTTTAGGGGCTATCTATCTCAGACATCCATTAGCTAATTCTAAGCAGCCATGGTACAAAAAACACTTGCATAAACATACTGTTCTTTCAATCAAAATAAAACATGTGCTCACTGCACTTAGCCATGCCAACTGCATTTCATAGTTAGAATGAATCTTGAAGAAATCCGAATGTAGAGATTTGAACTACTTGTATTCAGGGCAGTATTTCTAATGGCTGCTGAAATGTCAGACTTCTACAAACTCACATAGCATGGTGCATCCGACAAATGAGAAGCAAGTGATTTCATGATTTAGTTGAATAAACTGAATAAAACAATCACTTTAATTATTTATCCTTTTAAATGCCATCATTTTCCGACCAAATTATTGGTACTTTTCTAAACATTAATTTTAATTTTGGGCATAAAAGACATTCCCCATTGGCTACAGATCAAAATTTTTGATAAGAAATATGGTACAAGTCATTGTTATAGTCCCTACCCAATTTGTATTACCGGATTCTGCCGTAAATTCACCCAGGGCCATTAAACGGCAGTTCGGGTTTTTAAAAAAAATAAAATGGGACCAAATAACCGCCCAGGGCAATTTTTCAGCAGTTTTTTTTAAGGTGTTATTTTAATCTTTTCTGGTGCCTAAAAGTTTCGCTGTAGTCATTGACGCCTATTCAAGAGTATTATTGTTTCGACAATGAGCTGTTATCGCTGTAAACAATGTTAAATTATTCTTTAAATGCTCAGTTTATCTTTTGAAAACAACTTTTTTTTTAATTTAAAAACAAATCATGCCGCTTTCCCATCAAAATCCAAGCCAAAAGATCGTACAACAACATCGGCAAATCTCTTCTGCACATACTGCGTTCAATAACATTAACATATTTACATGAGCTATGGTATTTTGAACACGTTGGCATCATCCATCGTTTTCATTGGTTAATTATCGATTTAACCTGTCAGGTCAAAGAACACCGTCTCAGGTCAAACATGGCGGATATTCATTTCCACAGCATCGAGCACTGAAAATGCGATCGGAATCATTCGCTTACGATGAAATAATTATAAATTTATTTCCATTTCATAACAATTCAACGAATTTATTTTTTGCACGTTATTATAATCATTACTAGGTAATAATCAACAATTGTAAAACGCAGCATGGCCGAATTGCAATACTGCGATCATTTGCTACTAAGCAATGCAGTTAGGTTCGTTTTTATTTGAAACTTCTTTTAGAATATACTTTCGTTACTAATAAAATGAAATAAAATAATTGTATTTGGCGCACGAGGTTCGTTAATGTTATTTTTTTTGGTGAAAATTATTTTTAATCCAGCAAGAAAAAAAAATGTATAAAATTTTAGATTAGCTTCTTGATCAGTTTCTTTCGTTTTGGGTGGTCCAACTGCCGGCGTTGAAAATCGGCGTAGGTGGATTTTTCAATAAAAATATAAGCCCCCTAAAAATATTTGATGATAATTTTTTAAAAATTTGAACCCCAAATAAGGGCCCACCAGCCGCGAAACCGCCCAGGGTGATTTTTCGGATGGGCGAATTTACGGCAGAATCCGGTATATATGCAAGATATATGACCTTATGTGTATGTGTGTAGTTTAAACTTGATTGGTCTAAGCATGTATGAGATATGGAACTGCATTCGTTCAAACAAGACATCCACCAGTCGGCCATTTTAGGATTTAACGATGACAAAAATGCACAAGCACTTGAGGAACTGAAATTCATTTTCAGAATATATGAGCTGATGTGTAACACTTGAGTGAAGTTTAAACTTGATTGGTTCAGACATGTACAAGATATGGCTCTGTGGAACTGCATTTATTCAAACAAGATGACTGCCAGTCAGCCATTTTGAATTTGACAGTGACAAATTGCCTGATATTATGTCAGATGTGTGTGTGAAATTTGAACTTGACAGGTCCAAGCATGTGTTAGATACAGCTGGATACGAATGGATATATGAATCTGAACTGCATTCTTAAAAAACAATCGTCCATTTAGAACCTGACCTGAGAAATAAAGTAACGTGCATCAAGATGGCATTATGTTCATTGTATGTACCAAGTATGAACAGAATCTGTCCATGTACGACTGAGATCCAGTTCTGGTATGATGAAATTGTGTGACTTTGATACATTTTAGGCCACTTGACCAATGTGAATAAAATCTTGGAACAAATGCGCATGCCCTTTATAATGTGTGATGTATGATGTATTGGTCCAAGCATCGGGTTAGATACAGCTGTACGTCGTACAATCATTGTAACACACATTGGATTAACTTTTAATATACATGTGGTTGAATTAAGTTGAATCAGGGTTTGCGCTAATGTCTCGGAAAGACGAGTCCCACTTACAAAATTTTAAGAGATTGAAATTTGACCCTGGATAACTTTATTAGAGATTGGAACCCAGCTTGCCTGAAAAACTGGGTCCCTCTTCAATAATTGGAGTCCGGGAAGCAAAATATGGGGTTAACGCATTCCCTGATTATTAACTTTTAATAAAGTTGCGATATGAACTGGATTAAAACACGGTTCTATATTGGATTGCATTTTAAATAAGTTTAATTAAATAAAAGTTGAATATCCTGTGACTTAACATAGAAATGTTTGCGAAGTTAGGTTTAATAAAGGGGGTAGGTATGGTAAAATGATATTAATATTAATATAAATTGAACAATACCTTCCCCTTTACTAAACCTAAGCTATGCAAACTTGATCTGAATTCGATCAAATATTAATATAAATTATGAAAATAGTGAGGGATGTCACAATGTAGGTCCTATCATCATAAATCGGTGTAGAGTTAAATTGAAGTTGTCACAATGTTGGTACCCACATACGCACGCACACACACACACACACATACTTGTATTGCTATATGTTCCGAGGACTTCATTGGATTAACTTTTAATATAGTTGAATTAACTTTTAATATAGTTGCGATATGAACTCGATTAAAACGCGTTCCTATATAGGGTTGCGTTTTAATTGGAGTTTAATTAAACTCAATTACAATGCAATACAATGGAAAATTGCATTTTAATTAAGTTTAATTAAACAAGAGTTGAATTCCCTGTGACTGAACATAGAAATGTTT